ACATAATTATATCGTAACACATGAAAAAAATAACAAGAAGAAATTTTTTCATGATCATATGAGTTTGCCGGATAAATGTCATAATTAGATCACATTTTTTGGATTTGATCCAATCAAAAATGGTAAAACTAGAATTAAATATATATAATAATATAAAAAATAATATAAAAAAAGCTAAAAATTATTGGGCAACGTTAAATCTACCGAATCTGCAATATTCAGCATTAAACTTTTCAAAATTTCACTTTCATTAATATCATTCAAATTATTAGTCTCATCATTATTAGTATTTTCATCTGAAATTTCAAGTAAATCATATGTAACCATTAATGTGTTAATACTTTCACTATTTAAATTCTTTGCTATCAAGTCGAAGTTCTTTATCAGAATTTGAAAGATAGTAAGTGCATATTTTTGCCATATCTTCTACTTGAGAAAGACATACGTATTATTATACTGTAAAACTATTTAAGCATTGAAAAGTTCTTTTTACAGATGGCTTATGAAGGAACAACTGAGAATAAACATAATGCCAATTGTTGGAGTTGATCTTGATCATCTTCAGCATATATTGCTACTAGAATAGCAAGTAAGTTTTACTTAAACTCATAATAGAAGTTATAATATACAGTATCATGCTGATTAGAATAGTAAATTTTTTAACAGAAAGGATATTTTATAGCAACTCTATAGAAATTACAATAATTTTAATACAAAATTAACTAACTACACATTTTTGATTATTAGAATAGTGATTAAGTTTTGTTATAGAATTTTTTGTAGCAACTTATGAAAAAAATTACAATAATTTTAAAATAAATTTAATTTTAACTACAAATTATTGTCACTAGAATAGCAAGTAGTTTATTTAAAAGTAGAAGTTACAATTAGTAATAGGAATAATGCATATTTTATAATAACATATACATGTTATATAAAATGTGTATATTATAATTTTTGGAATTTTGTCACTTGATATTATTAATATACTAAGCAAGTATATTATATTTAAACAAAACTGCAATATCTCTTACTATTAAACTTCTTCTTAAAATTAATTGCCAAATATATACAAAAATATAGATCTTTTACTATATATTTAGATCCCAAACCCCATCTTTACTTTCCTTTATACATATTTCTAATATATCTAATACTCTTATCTAACCAAATACTAAATTTATTCTGATTAATTCTTTATATAAAGTTGAAATATAGTATACTAGTAGTATACTTACTAATTAAATATCTTTTTTTTTTTTTAATTATAAGGGTGTAGCATCTACACTTAAACTTTATTAATATTTAAATGATTAACATATAATAATACCTATATATATACATATTATACCAAGTACTAAGACTAGAATATTAGATATACAAACCATTTATTTATGGCTAAAACCCACCAGAGCTGACTGTACTCCCACTATACTGTTGATCTAGATTTTGTGTGTTCCTACTCACCTTCATTTAACTTCTACATGTCCACCGCTTTACCTATATTACTTAGTATCTTAACTTCTAAATTGGTGTGTTAATGCTTCAAATAGGTGCTTAATACTTCCAGTTTGGTTTGTCTAGTTTGTGCTCCTATTTGGCATACTTGTAGGAGGTTCATATCTCAAGCTATGTAGCTACCTCTATCCAAATAGGTAAATATCTCAAGCCTGCATGCTGCCACAACCAGCCCACTTTCCTGTAACTTTTAGAGTTTAGGTTTTAACATATCAAATTTGATAATTGTGCGAATATTTATACTCCTCTTTATGATAACGAGAATCTAGACATGTTTTATAACAAGTTATTCTGCACTTCTAAAACTGATAGTTGGCTAGCATTATGAGGCTCTTTTGTATAACAGGTGCATTATTATTTCTTTTTATAGTGATTCTTAGCAGTTGTAGCTTAGTTACATACTGCATATACTTATACTAGCTATCTAAATTTTGGTAAACTTGAACCACTTTTAACATCTAAAGACTCCTATATGAATGCACCTAGAGCTCCATTGGGTCTTGACATGTACACATCTTTATGCTTTGGTTGCCTTTTAGTAATCAGTTCTACATAGTGCCAGAGGTGTTCCAAATCTAGTAAAGCCAATTCTTTATCACAGGTTCTATTGTATTTCACCACTTTTCTTACTACTCCAATTCTAGTTACTGCCTAGTTATTCTCCCAAACAAGATTCCAGTATTGCTTTAGAATTGTTGGTGCTATCTATACCAATCGAGGATTTATATGTACAAGTTTCATGTAATAGAATATTCTATAATATCAACTGTTATATATAGTGCTATTTCTTTACAAATAGACCTCTTTACAGAAATTCCTATTCTGAATCCATATTTACTTGAACTTCTTATATATAAGTATATTCAAATATTCATAAATAAATATATCTACTAGGACTTGAACCCAAAACCTGCTCATAAAGGGTTAGGTGTCTAGACTATTAGACTACAAAATCCTAACCCCAACTAATTAAATATCTAATATACCTATTTTATATTATTACTAATATCTAAATTTAGATGAGTCTTAATCACTCTAGTTGGTTTAGACTGCAGATAAGTATTTAGATTTACTTAGATATATATTTAAGTTTTTATTTTTAGTATTAGATTTATTTAATAAAATTTTTATTAAATTTAATAAAGATAGAGGTGTGGCGACTTAGTGTAGTAGTCTAGTCATCACCTTCTCCAAGTGGCAGATCTAGAGTTCAAATCCCACGGATGACAAATTTTGAAAAATAGCCTGTGTTGCGGTTTACGGTTGTCAATTATCGGTTGGATCTAGAAATCTGTAATCTCGGTCATACCATCTAGTTATGGGAGCTTTG